TAAATGTATTAGGCCGCCTGACGAGACAAAGAGATAATTAACACTCTAGCGTTTTGTGTCAGTCTATAGATTAACACGATATTGTTTTAAACGCACAGAAAACGTCTCCCCTTAGAGCTTCTATTCCGTGTTTTAACTGTGCACGCAGGACATACAGAAGCTATCTCATTACTTGGGGCGTACTCGTATTCTCGTGGAAGTTAAAATTGTTTCTTGATTAAAATTCCGATTCAGGTCTTGTATAGGCTATACGCTAGCTTCCATTCAATATCATACGTCTGCTCATTTCTTTTGATTATTGTGCTTTTTTTTTTTTTTTTTTCAGTAAAAGTATGAGATTTTATAGACTCGAAGGTGTAAATACCTTTGTTGTAATTAAAGGCTATGCCTTTGTTTATTTCAAGCTGTCCTTCGATGATGCCATCTATATAGTACTGCCGACTTGTCCCTTCCCTGATAGAAATTTTGGTGGCAGTAAATGAACTCGTTTCTCCGGCAGGTCTGTTACTCAGCGAAAATTCTGTTAATGTCTCGTAAAAATAGAAAATAGTATTTTTGAGCATTATTTCAGTTGCCCTCTGTTATTAGCCGAACGAAAAAGAGCTCGTCGCTGATTGTACCATTTAGCTTAAGCTAATGCTTATAAAATTACCTTTTATCACAGTCTTTCATCAGTTATTAGATGCTGTTCCGTTTCACTGGCAACGATTGACCAAAATGAAAATGCATTTTCGGTATCAAAATGTGACTACCTAAATGCGTACCTAATCGACGTATCCGTGGTCAACTACGAGGAATCGTTAATTTTCCCACTCGAAAAGTAGAGCTTCGACTAGCTAAATCAAGTATTTAGGGCAATTAATCACTGATTGCCCGAGGTCGGCCAACAAATAGTCTAACTAATGCCCCACACACAGTAATCCTAAGTTAAGTTCGTTTAAGATTTACTTGCTAGGTCATTTATAGAAATTCTCTCATGAGAAGTACTATGACGCTGCTATGAAAATTGTGAGGTACGTGAATATAAAGAAAGCTGGGAAAATATTGTACTCGATCGCATTTTCCCAGCTTCCTTTATTTTAAAAACCAGAGCACAATCTTGAGCGAAACAAACACACACAATTTTCGCGCTGCATCAGCCATTAGTGTAAGTGCTTATAGTTGTGCACTGACAGGATATAGCCCCGGCAGTCTAAGGAAACATCAAAATTCCAATAAAACCAATTATATTTCACACGTTATTCTCGTACGTTCTCGTGTCCAGAGTCAACATTGCATCATTCACCTATAACTCGATTCGTAACTAAAAAAAAAAAAAAAGAAAAGAAAAAAAAAAAAAAAAACGCAGTACGACATCAAACGAAGTAGGACAATAGATCTATTCAGGTAGGGAAGACGAAGATTTACTCAATCGAGTTAACAATTTCGTTCGTCCTATATTAGGCTTCTCTGCTCGTTAGCACCCTCTTCTCGATTCCTCCATACCGGATACGTCAGCAGCCGTGTCCAAACCGGCAAATTGATTCGAATCATCCGAGCGCCATCGATATTATTGTTGTTATCGCTGGTTTTTCCTACGCGGTTTTCATTGCTGAGGTCCACCATTGAATCATATTATGGTAGCGCATAGACGCGTCGCTAAAAAGGCGAGAGCGACAGTCGTAAATGACAACTACCGCCACCTGATCGAGGTGCTCTCGTAAGCGGTTAGACAATCAGCAGCAGCCTCTGCTATAATAATAGCTCAGTTACTTGTGGAAGTAGTTGTAGTGACAGCAGTTAATGATGCGATAGTACTACTTATGTGGCACTTTTGCCAGCAGCTACTGGACGGATACCGAATTAGAAGGTCACTAGAGAAGTGCCATCACGGCCGGTGCTGCCACTGAAGAGCTACTGCAGCGACGCGGACGAGCATGAAGGAACGCAAGAGGAAAGAGGAAAAGGCGCCGGCGGCACATGTAACGGCGGCGACAACAAGTGAAAAAGAGGCAACGGCATCAGAAAAAGAGACAGTGGCGCCGGTTATACTAGTAATAAGTTTGTTTCTAGCCATGCCAGACCAATCTGACGCAACTAATGGTAGTAGTAGTAGTAGTAGTAGTAGTAAGTTCTGGTGGGGAAGTCGAAGGGACAGTTTTCAAGCTTTACATAGATTCGATTCGACTAACAGCAGCGGCAGAAGCGTGCATCTATAATAGGACGAGGACGAGGACGAGGAGAAGAAGAAGAAGGAGGAGAAGGAGGAGGAGGATGAGGAGGAGGAGGAGGGGGAGGAGGAGAAGAAGGAGGAGGAGGAGGAGGAGGAGTAGCAGCAGCAGTAGCAGGAGGCTGCCGCCGAGGAGTAGGAAAGGGAGAGTGAGAGAAGGAAGATAAGGGGGCAGAGGAGGATGATGATGACGACAAGAAGAAGGATGGGGAAGGGGCGAGGGGTAGAAGGACATGGTGATTAGAACAGTCGAGTGGTTGGTTCGTGGAGTCGTATCGTTGTTGTGAGCAAAGTCGAGCTGAGTAGGTTTATCATGACTGATTCAGCTGTTTGATGTCATGAATTAGGGCATTTTTTTTACGAGTATACATGTACGTGCATCTGTATGTCTGCTGTGCTTTTGTGAGTAAACGTTTGTCTTCCCGCTTCGATTGACCGACAACAGCTGCAGCCGCTAAACAAATAGCCGTAAAAATCTATATATGTATATACATTGAAAGAAGAAGCTGTAAAAGAACGGAGAGTGAATTTTGTTTGTGTATCTACGGGCGTGTATCATGACTTGACGACGATGACGATGACGACGATGACGATGGTGATTGATTTGCTAAATAGTACAGCCTCATCTTCATGTGTCCAGCCGTCGAGAGGAGCCCCCATCTCATGTGCAAAGATTTTTCAGTTGTTTACTGTCCATTGAAGATAGAAAATAGCCGCAGTCGCTGATCGTCGACGTTACTGCTGCTGCTGCTGCTGCTGCTGCTGACCGAAACATAGCAGCAGCGACAGTCGTCGTTGGGCCGCAATAAAACTAAACGAGTTGGTCGTCAGCCATCGAGTACCTAGCGCCACTTTGTTGTCGAGAATAGCTACGCAGAGTCGCTAATGAAATAGGCTTTGTACTCCGCTCTCAATCGCTGTCGTAGTATGTAGAGAAAACATTGTCTTGGCTGAACGCAGCAAAAGTCACCAGGAACATCTACGATAAAACAAACTGTTCTCTGAAATCATATCATCATAGATAATGGAGCAACGACGATGGAGACAAGGCCGCAGAAACAAGAACATCACAGCATGTCTTCAAACGTTACATAGATAAACTCTTTCGAACAGTTGTTCGGTTAAAAGCAAAAGAATCGAACGATGACGACGAATGAATGAATGACTGAAAGAAGAGAGAAGACGAGGCGAGGCGCAGCTAAGAGGCAACGTCTGACAGAGAGAGAAAGAAGCAACGTCACGTTGCTTGTCTGTCGATCGGGTCGATACTCTGGTTAATGTTAAAAGCTAAAATTGGCATCGATCGACTCGACAGACAGAATTTGTACCGCCCAAATTAACAGAAAGCCACAGCAAGAACGAAAATTGTACCAGGTAGAAAAAGCAAGCTAAAAACACATAAAGCGAATTAGTACATCATACGGCCATGTATCATTTTTGAAGCCATGATGAAGATAAGGGCAATAATGCGATACTATTCGTTATCATCGTCGTGTCGTTGAGAAACGTTGCAGATGTGGCGTCAAGTGTCTGCGTACAATATTACCTAAAAAATAACCGAACAATTGTTCGAAAGAGTTTATCTATGTAATGTTTGTAGACATGCTGTGATGTTCCTGTTTCTGCGGCCTTGTCTCCATCGTCGTTGCTCCATTATTTACGATGATCTGTTGAATGACCTCGTACCGATTTAGAGAACCGTGAGTAGTATCACACGGTTCCTTACAGATGAAGGAAAAACACCAAAGTCCGCAGGAAGCACCACGACCGTCCTCTTAAACTTCACTGCTGCCGCTATTATTATTGTCGAGTTGTCTGCGTCAGTGGCGCTTGCCAAATGTCGACGGTGGCAACGACGTCGCTTTGTAGCCACAGTGGCTGTGATAACAATCGCGTAGTTGGTGCAATAGTCGAACCAGTTGCAGTGGTAGAGATGATGGCGCTATGGCCGTGCTGCTGCTGCTGCTGCTGCTGCTGCTGTTGTTGCCTTGTCCTCCTTCCCCTTTATCGCCACTTCCACCAGTAAAGCTGCTATGATTGTGACTGTTGGCGCTCGTGCTGCTGCTGCTGCTGCTGCTGCTGCTGCTGCTGCTGCTGCTGCTGCTGCTGCTGCTGCGAGCGTTGCTGTCGTATAACAGCAGCAGCAGCAGCAGCAAAAGTCGCCAGTATCGCCTTGCTGATGACGGTGGTGTGTAGCAGCGGCAGCAACGGTGGAAACAGCAGCTCTGTGTGTCTATCTAGTGAATGGAGTATGTCAGGTGGTCCTACCGATGATAACAGTCGCGGCGTCTGTGCGCGCGCGCTCTGCAATCGGTCAACTATAGCAAAACAACAGTGAGCAACAACTAAACAGCTCCGAAATAATTAACCACCCAAACAGGCCAGCAACAATCCGGTAACAGACAACGAGCATTCGGCCCACGCCCAACGGTTGCCTTCTGTTGCTATTTAAATGGGACATAGTGACGGTAGCGGGTGTCATACCGTCACTATACACAAACAGAACTAACTCGCTCTGGCCGCTGCGTTCCTGTAAATACTGTTCAAGTTCTTATTAGTTACTATTTTCTTTGTTGATGATCACGAAGTTGTTCGGCAAAGACGACCAGGCTGATGACTATTGTCATGACAACGACATTGTCGACTTCACTGTTGTACCGTTTTACCGTCTACGGTTATTAACTTCCAGCATTCGTCAACCTGTTTTTGCCCCAAAAAAAGCACCTGATCATGTGGTGACGACCGTGGTTGATATGACAACCGTTGTCATTCGTACTGAGTGCGCGCCATTTCCTTACCTAGCAAAAAAATAGTTCTTGCCACCATCGCGTGCTGAGGTGGTGCTCACGCCTTGCAAACCCCTCATCTGCCCCGGTGGCTATAGCCATTTAAAATGTGCTTGTTCTTCTCACAACAGTGAGTTGAGATGAGAGACGTATTTGTTGTGGATAGTGCATACAGAAACATTGCAGAATGCTAACTCAATAGTGCAAAGCCTGCAATTACTTATCTGTCGGCTACACACGTACTATCCACTCACTTGTGCCTTTACCTGTGGATGTATTGGTATATTTTTAATTGGCCGTCTGCCTATATTTACAATACCACCATCATCATCATCGCCATCGGATCGTACACGACGATTTGCTTTCATCTCAGCCGTAAAGGATAATTAATACACGTAATAATTATGGTAACAGATGTCACTGTTGTCGTAGTTACTGATGTAGTCGCATGACAGTCTCGCAGAAGGGTATTGTCTTTTTTTTTTTTTACCGCCACTCTTGCTACTGTTCACAGTGGTACCTCGTATAGGTGGTAATGGCGTGAATATCAACAACTTCCCGGAAATGTGTAAATATTTGCAATTACATCGGCTCTGATCGCTTGAAAAAGCTGTAATCGTCCCGTGTTGGATGGACGCTCATTCATTACGATATGTGGTTGTGCCTGTGCCTTTGTGTATACTCGCGCCTTTCGCAACAACCCTAATTGCCGCCGTCGTCGTCGTTATTGTTGTGGATCACAGTTTCCGCTCGGATATAGGAAATGATCATCGTTTCTCAAGTACGTTTTTTGCCTAAGTGTTTGTGTGTATTAAACTACATCGAAGAAGGAGCTTCCTTCCAAAAGGTACGCAAAATTAACCTATCGTAAAGTGGAGACTACCGAAGAAAGCAAATAAAGGAAAGCTTCTAATATACCCCTAGAAACCCGTGGCTAAGTACGTGCGTAAGTTACCCTCTAAAGTTGGCGCAAATTTTTTAAGATAGACGATGCACATAGCGCGTTGATAGTTGCCCGCTACTTCTTTGCCGCTCCATCTATACTAGTAGTGTCTGTGAATAGACCTCGATGCCTTTCAGCATCCATGTACTGACAACACTGAGTGATCCTTGGCAGAATTACTTGAGGGAGTCACTGCAATTACCAATGGCATCACTACTTACGTAAAAGCAATGATGTGCCGTCGCCACAGAGATAACAACCCCCTGTTCCCCGTCCCCGTCCCCGTCCGTCGTCCATTCTCATCGTAACGTTATTTTCAAGCGCACCGTCGCGCAATGATGAACTGAGCGGGGCCTGAATTAACTTGACCAGGCACTCGGCAACGTATATCATACATAGGACAACACTGCAGCGCTGCTCCGTTCGTCTCCCGGTTCATACGTCCGCGCATGCGTTTTTGTTCGTCCGATTGCGGCGTACCTCTTGTCTAGCTGACTAACTGAAAAGGTGTTTATGCGCATTATCACTTTTCGATTGTCGCCCATGAAGAAACATCTATATTCACACGGCACCACTAGTTATCCTAGTATCTTTACTGACATCAGTGGAAGTTTGAGGAAATAGGCACTCAAACTGTCGTCGCCGTTAACGGCACACGCACCGACAACAACGCTCAGTGGATTCGTAGCTCGCGGTGCCCAGCTATTGTATTTCTTTTAGTTGTGGTATTAATGTGTTCCGATGTTTAACAAATTATACGCAAGGTACGTTTCTGCTGGCGTTGAATGCTTCCCTCTCTCGCTCGGTGCATCCGCCAGCCAGTCAGTCAGTCGCTTGTGGTAGTCTGCTGCGTGTCATTTCCTGCGCCGATGGAGACAAAGACGCGCTAGAAGAAGGGAGAAGTTAACTACGACCACGATAACCGTTGAGGCGGCAGCGACGGGAGGGGCCGATGTTCGCCAGCATGAGGAGGACGATGATGCCGACGTGATGGCCAACATCATCTCGCCCCGGGAAGGCCATTACTGCCGTCGCTTGTGGCGTCATCGCTGGCACAAAAATAGCGGACGGTAAAAGCACTTTTAGCTTGGACTTGGCGCACTTTTGAACTTAGTCAGCAAGCCAATGAGTTCTGTTCTGTCAGTCAGTCACTTCCACGCACAGCCCCCCGAATGCAAATGCAGTCGCACACGTGTGATACAGTCAAAAGCAGAGCAAGAAAAAAATGGCCGAGAGGGGAGAAAGCAAAGAAAATGAAGAAAGAAAGGGGAGGGGAGGATGAGGACAAGATTAGCTAGGATCCACTTTTCCTTTGGGGCAACTGACAACCTGGCAAACAAGCAAGCAACGATCTAACAGACCGGCCAACCGATAGCCTGACAGATCACGGCATCAGTCGCAACAGCAAAAGCAAAAGAAGCCATAAGGCGAGCCTTTATTCCGTACGCTGTTTGCTGCTGCTGCGGCGGCGACCGCGAATAAGCAAGGCCTGTTCGTACTTAGATAACCTACAGTTTCTTCTTTGACCGAAACCACTGAGATGGTCGCAACTAGCAGAGTATTCTTACCAGCGCAACGATCGGGGGCAGGAGGGGGGTCGTAGAAACACACTGAGCCGTGGCTTATGCACACGCACTCACATGAACATATTATGTCGCACAGCTTGAGTTAATATTGGCCTTTTATATTCAGGTGCAGACAGACTCTTATAGATGCACGTTCTGACGGAGCAAGAGCACGCTGCGCTGGAGAAGAAACTGTTGAAAAGTTCGTCTTAAAACCTGCGTCAATTTAACTTTTCAACATGTATTTATACAGTTATAAATCTTGTTCAGTTGTCTGTACTGCTTTTTAGTATAGTTCATAGCACAGAAATCATCAGGTTCTTATTGGCTTTCGGTTCAAAACGCAATGAGCCGGCATGTATAAACCTTACGTGAATCAAGCGTAATGTGCAGATTTTGATGTGAAGATATCTAAGCTATAAGATATAATTACATGTGTTTGAGTTTTTTTTCTATGACTGCACCGGGGGGCGAATCGGGGCGAACCAAGCTCTGTCGCTGCGTTTATCATATTAAATTATATCTTCTGTATTCTATTCTATATATATATATATATATATCTTCTGGCTATTTTCGAGATTAAAAAAAGCACAAAAAACTGACACTAATCTATTTTTGTTTTTGTCAACAGAAGAACCTTTTGTGTGTATGATAACATATTAAGTCAACGTCCGCTTAGAAGTCGAACGATAACGTTCGTTCACCGTCGGTAATCTGGAGAACATGGAACGCTAGAAAACGGAATGAAACGTCATAAATATTGCACAATATATTCAACAATTTCAAACCGGCGTAATTAACTTGTGGCAGAAACTTTCGCTATTTTACACCAACGCCGCAATTAGTAGAAAATCCTTGTGGTCCTTAGAGGAATAAGAAACGTCTCTATCATTAGCGTCATCATTACTATTATTAATCTTATTTCGAAATTATATAAACGATAAACGGGACGATAAATATTTTTGACTCACAGTTGGACCCATCAAAACTCTTCGACGCACCACAGGCCCCTAAAACGTCGGCATTTACATGTAAAAACCACGCCATGCCAGCTGTCTTAAATTGACAATCTGATATGATCAGGATTTTCTCTGAAACGATTTACCAGGCTAAAGAAATTTATGGGTGAATGGAGACGGCTATTTGTTCAAGACATAGCATTGATCTATATTTCTTCGGCAGATTACAGTGTACTGTTTCTTGAGCCTTCATTCTACCCCCTTCGGACTGTTTCCTGCCGATAATAGCAAGGATCGAGGGCGAGAGCGTGATGCTGAGGCCGTGATGTTCAGGAGAATGCTATTCGGTTTATTCAGGAAAGCAAGTCGTAAAGACGTATTGTTATGCAGCACTATCAAGTGGCTCCTACGATGAACTATGACGGAGCAAAGGAAAAGACTATTTCGTAATCCATAAATGACTTGTGTTCTAATTTAGTTAACACTGTAACATGATGAAAGTGGAATTTTTCAGTCATAGCTGCTGAGTTCAAAAAACGCACTGTCATTTTTCCGTAGATACTAGCATTGCTATGGATGAGCGTACATGCAGGAATAGAGGTTAGCAACTTTCTGTATCGGTCGTATTGAGGGCAAGTTTATTCGGCCATTGAATTAAAGTATTTGCGGTTCTGAAGGGAGACGTGCGCATCTAACTTGCCGAAAAAAGTGCATGTTCGTGCATAGGATTCAGCAGAATGACATGCCTGGTTTCGAACCTTATTCAATATTCTTCAACGAATTCACGCATACATCTTCCTTTTAATCAACTGTCGAAGATCATTCCTAAGTATAATGTTGTTATATAGTTCTCTCAATCAAGGAGAAGAATCACTTCAGCTGTGTGTGATTAAAGCTATCGATTTCGCTAGCCCAACGACCGCGATGTACGATATCAGCGTCCGACATAAAAGGTAAACGCAAAACGGACCCTCGAAAGTAGTTAGCTCAGCGGTCACGTTACCTCATTAAATCATCTTAATTCTGTGGGTAAGAGAACCCTTTTCTAACCCAGCTTGTTGACATGCGTTATGTTTAATCTAGGACGTGATTACGTTGGCTTCCTCCGGTTTACAATAGTTTAAGTAAGTACAGCTACCCTGTTTGTGTTTCCTTTTCATGTATCCTGCATCGTATACGGGTTTGTGTCATGTGGAAAGGATAAACCAAGACGAAACTCTTTCAATGGCAATTACGAATGTTTGCTAATTATCTATACTGAACCTGCTGTGTCTTGCAGTGTATATGCTGGCGTGTGTCACTATATTGTTCGAATCTATAGGAAACTTACGAACAGCCTGCAGTTAAAATTTTCCCACTAAGCTGCTTTGAGTTTTGCCAATAGGAATCATATAGGCCTATATACAAACACTTGTCGGATGGAAGAAGTTAAGCCATAGAATTTGCGGAGGTGGGGCGGTTGGGGCAGCTGCACTCATACGGTTTTGGGTTTGACCGTTAGTTTGATTTTAATGATCTTTGCAAATCATTTGAGTCATTATTAGGCTAGATAGAGATTTTATTTCCCGCTTATTCTGTGTTCCCCTTAACCAGCCCTGTTTCTTAAAACAGCTTAATGGGTCCTTAAATCGGTTTCTTTTAATGCTGGCCTTAGACCTGAAAAGGTTAAGCCGATAAGCAACCCTGGAACAAGCAAACTTGTCATTCATAACCTGCCGGAGATTTCCAAACCAGATTGCCAAAACGGGCTGAAATTTACTGCTGACATAAGATAAGATGGTTTTGCATCATCTTTTACCTATTCGAAGCCTTTTTTTTGTCATACACTTTACTCGTGAAGCCATATTTTCCATTCAATATTTTACTGCGTTTGAGAATCTTACTGTTGAGCTGCCTGTTCAAGCTTTGCCAAATCCTTAAAAATATCCAAATGATGGAGGGTTGTCCGGGGTTTAACCATTATTTCATGTGCGGAAGTAAAACAAATAAAGAAAGCTAAAAGTTCGGCAAATTACTATTGACCTAGTAGGTTAGTCCACGAGTATATCAGCGTTCTGACCCATTTACGTTCACCTAGGGTGAATATCTCTTCCATAATACCCTTGTGTATATTGGTCCATGGTTACCTTGCCGCAAACAACAACGCCTATCGAGGAAATACTAATTTCAAGACTTTCCAACCCTGCCACAGATCTGTTTTTGCAGGATGCTTCAGCATAATGTAGTATCGTTGTTGTCGTTCCTCTGTGACTTTTCTGTAGGAGAGAAGCAGCCGTAGACACTTTACGTTGAAAAATACCGGTCCATTAAATGC